GGCTTTATATAAGGGGCACCTCCTGGGCTTGGCTTATCTATATCTTTATTAGCTTTTTTGGATATCTATTCTTTCTTTTTATAGTAAGCTCGGATCTACTAATTATTTATAGTATAGTATTATATAAACTCTATAGTATAGATAGCCGGATTATTATAATATATAGCTATGGCCTCTTAGAGCTTTTAGATAAGCTTATTATTTAGGTTATTCTTAAGATCCTATAGATTAATATTTCCGTCTACTATATATTTCAGGAATAGAATATAGAACTTCTAAAAAATCTGGCCCTTCTTTATAAATAGCTCCTTAAATGCTTACCGAGTATTATACTCCTTATTCGGGTTACTATATAGCTCTTTCAGATAGGTATATAGTTCCCTAATAGTCTTATATATATATTAACTATTCTAGTTCAGATAGGGAGAGATTAGTATAAGAATATAGCTATCTATATAGCCAGATATATAAATAATCTTGAGATCCTCTATCTAATAGGTATTAGAGTTATTATAGAGCTTGTTCTTAATCTGAACTAACTAATTATTAAAGGTAATACTATTCTTAGTTATATCTTTGAAAATAGAAGAGTTAGGGAATTTAACTAAGTATCTATCTTCTAGAACAGAAGAACTAGTTATTCCGGTAAGCTATATAATAAGCTTTTTAATAATAGCTTCGTTCTTTTATAGGGCTTATTTGGTTTCTCTTAGCTAATTATAATAATTCTTACTATAGGCAAGGATATTATATATCTTTAGAATTAGCTTAATAATCTCTTTATATAAAGCCTCTGGATTCCGAAATAACTCTTGGAACTCTATCTTTAATAAGGCAAGTTCCTTTTTTTCCTCTACTTTCTAGAAAAAAGTATCTCTTCTACTATAAATATTAATAGGATACTCGGATCCCTTAGGAGACTTAATAAGAGACTCTAGTTCACTTTCTAGTAATATACTAGTAGTATCTTATACTATAGCTCCTTCTAACTTACCTAGTTATTCCGGGACTTGCTTTCTTATAGATCTTTATTTAGTAATAAGGTTACTAGCCTATCTGCTTGCCTGGCTAGTCTAGGGCTTTCTTGCCTAGTTATTCTAGGGCTTTCTTTTATTCTAATATTAGTTAACTAGTTTAGGAATAGCTATAGTATATTATATTTATACTTATTAAAAACCGATCGGATAGGTATTATTTAGATTCTCTGCAGGATTAAGAAATAAGTAAGCTTTAAATTATATTATAAGTATAAGATCTAGGGCCTAGAAGATATAGTTAGACTATCTCTATTTCGATAATTCAAAGCTAAAGAGAGAAGAGGATCCCGAAAGAGCCTCGGATCTAAATAATTACAAGCTATATACGGGCCTATATACTAGCTTAAGCTCGGGGTTATATATAATAATCAGGTAACTATAGATGCTTTACTTAGATACCAGATGCCTCTCTAGCTCTAGTCTAACCCCTACTAGTACTATATATTATAATAATCATAATAATTTATATCTAATAATATAATAATACCCGAGATATTCTTATATATTATTCTTATTTAGAAGATATATATATAGTCCCTAATAGAATATCTAGAATAAGCTAAGCTTTAATAGCTTTTTTAGGCCTACTATTACTAGCTAGGCCAAGATATAGATATTAATTAGTATAAGAATAATTATTATATTTACTAATAATCTTATATCTCTAAAAATAAAAAGCTAGGGCTCTTATATTTATTACTAGTCCCTAACTATCTCTAATAATATATATTAGTAGATTTTAAAAAATACCTAGAAAATAGAAATAAATATAATATAATAGCAATTTTTATTAATTATCTAGATAAGTACTCTATTATAATTCTTATTCAAAATATAATAATAATTAAAGAATTAGTATCTCTATTTCTTACTTATATAATTTACTAAATTAGTATTCCGGAAACTATAATATCTAATTAGGGCCTCTAGTTTATATCGGATTTCTAAAGCGAATTCTATAAATATATTAATATAAAGCTTAAATTATTAATTACTAATTATTCCCAAACTAATAGCTAGATAGAGATTATTAACTAGTATTTTAACTAATAGCTATATTTCTATATGAATTATTACTAGAGTAATTAGAATATTCTAATATTTCGGAATTCTTTTTATAATAGCTTTTTTCTTTAATATTTAGCCTTTAATAATATTTTTTAAGTTTTTATTAGAATTCAGCTTTCTGCCTTAATATTTTATATTAAATAGCTACTTATAATAGAATAATTATAGTCGAGAATATTTATAACTAAGAGAATTAGGAACTTATATTAGAATTCCTTTAGAATATTAGCTATTTGAATTATTATATAAGAGAGTTAAAATAGTAATTAAATATAATAAATGCTTTAATCTATAAGTTTTAGTATTATTAGAAAGATTTACTAAACTATAAGTATTAGTTCTATATTAAGATTAAAATAATCTTAAAATAAGAAAATAAATATAATAGTAATAAAAGTATATTAAAGATAACTATAAATATATTTATATTTATAAATTTCAGGCTATTTTTTTAATATATTTATTTTTTAATAATAAAGGAAAATATAATAAATAAATATATATATATATATATATATAATAGAATATTTATAAATTTTAAAGAAATATATAAAATAATTTAATTAATATAATAGTTTGCTTTATATTTTAATATAACTATATATTAAAAAGAATTAATTCTAAACTAGATCTAATTTTATTAAATATATAAATCCTTATTAATCTAATAAACCTCGAGAATATAATTTTATTCTAAACTATAATAAGAAAATATAATAGATTTCTATTATATTTTACTTAAATTATATAAGTAATAGAAATAGATTCAAGAAATTAGTAATAATAAAAGAAAAAGAATTAAGTTTAGATTCTTAGATTTATTTAGTAAAATATATAATATTATAGCTTATATTTGCAAATTATTTACTTATATAGCTAAATAAATAGAACTTATAAAGAAAATAATTTCAATAAATAATTATATAAAATAAAATAGCTAGTATAAAATGCTTTTTATTTTTATTAAGAAAATAAAATATATAAATAAATATTACCGAAATTATAGAAATAATCTTATAAAGGATTTTCTATTTTATAAAAACTAGAAAAAGCTTTATATAACTAGGAACTTTTTTATTACTTTTATATAAGCTACTTTTTTTATAAAAGAAGATACTACTTCTATTAATTATATATTCTTTATAATAAATATTTTAATTAAGTATTTTCAAGAAATAATTATAAGTTTTTTACTTTTCTTTTTTCTTTTTATATAAGCTTAGCTAAATATAATATAGGCTAAGTTTAAAAAAAAATAAGAATAAAAAGTTTCTTATATAACTTAATATTATATATACTATATTTAATAAATACTATACTAAAACTAATTTTTTTCTCTTTTATATTATAGTTTTAATTCTTAATCTAGGCTTTTATATAAGATATATTAGAGTTAATTAGCTAAAGAAATATATAATTTTAGCTTTTATAAATATAAAGAAATTTTGGGAGTATTATAGAAATTAAATTATTTCTTTCTTATATAATAAAGAGCTATTTTAAGAGTTATTAGTATTTGACTTCTTTAATTAGATTATTTAATTTATTTACTTAGTTATATAACCTCTAAATAAAAATAAATATAAGTATTAAAACTTCTAGAAATTATATAATATTAGTAAATAAGGGGCTTTAGTTTAATAAAGCCAGGATATATAAAAGAAATATTAGCTAAAGCTTTTATTTATAGCTATTAATATTTTCTTAATTTCTTTAATAAATAATAAGTCAGAGAAAGTCTTTTTAGAAATATATTATATAATAAACTAAAATAGAAAATAAATAAAAGTAAAGATAATAGAAATTAGAAAGTATTTAAAATATTAGAAAAGTACTAGAATCTTATAAACCTTTTTTAAAACTAGCTAGTTTAAAAGAAATATATATTTTTTAAGATTCTTATATAATTAGAGAACCTTCTAAATATTATTTAAATTTTCTAAATTTCTAAGCTATAACTCTTATTTAAAGGCTATTTTTCCTGCTTTAATTTTCTTTTTTTTTATTAATATTACTATTATTTATACGAGAATTTCTTATTTCTTATTACTTCTTATAATTATATTAATTATATAATAGTAGTATATTAAATAATCTAGCCTCTAATAGTAATTCCTCTATATAGCCTCTTATTTCTAATAATAGTTCTTCTATATAGTCTTCTATTTCTAGTTCTGGCCTTATAAACCCAAACTAGTAATAAGCTTTTAATTCTTAATTCTATCTATTATATAATAACTAATATCTTTAAAGGCTTATTTCTTTTATTACTTTTAGTATTAATAGTATTTCTAATCTTAATATAAACTAGTCTCTTCTTTAAGGCTAATAACTTATTTTATTTATATAATACTTTATTTTTTACTATATAATAAAGCTAACTAGAATATAGTATTATAATAATTAATAATAATAAGCCCTTATTCTTTCTAGTTAGAATATAATTATTAATTCAAATTATATTATAATTAATTAAGTCTTATATTAATACTCTTTTTATTTAATAAGAAAAGGTTAATATAACGGCTATTTCTTATATTATATATACTTATATAAAACTTAATAATATTATTTTTCTTATATATATTCGAATTATAAATATATAAAATAATAATTATAATAATTATAAGTAGCCAGATTATATTACAAGCTATTACTAGAAAGGAAATAATAGTAGTAATAATAGTAATAGAGAAATTAGTATAGGAGATTATAAAGAATATAGTAGATATAATAGATATAGTAAATATAATAGAAATAGTAGAAGTAGCTATATAAAATAAGAATGAATTATATAATATAATATAGTAAGAAAGACTTCTTATAGTAATAGAGTTACTCGTAATAGTATTACGGCTTAATAAAGGTTTTTCTGAGATTATATAATAGTTTTTAGCCTCTTAATAGTATAATTAATAGAAGTCTTTATAAAATAACGAGAATCTACAGGGATTAGCTCGCTTAGGAACGATTGGAACGTTCCATTACCGCCTGTTCCAGACCCCTGGAACGAATCGGCAGAAACCGATTGGTCCGGAATATCGCCAAGCCTGGTTCCACTAACTATTCTTCCCGGCCACTCTCCACATCACCCGTACTGCTCAAAGCTCCGAGGTTCTTTTACTTGCCTTTGTGGGGGAATGTTTCTTTTCGTAACATTATTAAATCTATTTATATACCCTTCCAAAGCACCAAGATCAAGATCGCAAGATTGACCGTAATTTCTCCCACACCTTTTTCAAGTTTGTCCGCAATCCGACTCTTTTACCTGGATCTTCACCAAGTCTCCCTTTTGCAAGTGTCTCCAGCGTCTTGGTTGGAATTTTATGACCCTTACATCTCTCCCTCTGCTTCTGTTCCTCTGCCTCCTCTGGAGTACGCTCTACCACAGGCCCATTTTCGAGGACGGCAGGCACAGCTGCCGGCTTGCGAGAGTATTGCACTTCTGGGATCCACGCCCATGCAAATAGTGAGCCGAGGGCCATCACGAAAGCGAAAGCAATGAGCATTCGGCTCATACTGGTGCTGTTTCTGGCATCGACTTTGACACATGGGAGGATGCTTTGGACGATGATGCTGCCGAGCTTGCCAGAGGCGGCAGTTATGCCGAAGCAAGTTGAACGGTAGCGAGTTGGGAATATTTCAGCCGCCAACTAGATGAAAAAGGCGTAGTTAGTAATGTACTCTCGGCAGGGATGTAATAAGAAACTAATGTGTTCTCTTACCAAGAAGATTATCGTATTGGGTCCAAGATTAAATAGCAGTTGTAGGAGAGCGTAGAATGTAATGAGAAATGCGTGGAGGTTGGTGTATACGACGGTGGAATAGATCCCTCCAACAATTGCGAATGTGATGCCCAGTGCCAGAAACGACCATGCTAACACAGCTTTCCGCGGTATATAGTCGATAGCCTTCAAGAGGACAACGCTGCCCAACAAGGATCCGAGAGAAATGGTAATGATATAGTGTAGAGAGTCTTGGTATAGGACGTTGTAGATTGATAGTGTCGGGTCTGCTGGATTCCCCCACATTGGTAAGCCCGCATTATTGTCAGATGCACGGGAAGACGCCCAGATTTGGGCCACAACCCTGGGATTCCCAATACCAAGGCCATAGAATGCAACATCTAGGCAGCACCAGCAGATAGAGACTCCGGCTAGCTTACGCCAGTTTCCTTCTGTGCCAAAGTACTTCTTCAGTTCTCGACGAGAGAAGGGATGTGGATTCTTTGGCATCGCCGGGGGCTCCTCGTCGAAGGGATTTTGATCTCCGTTGTCATCATGAGCCCAGCTCTGACTCACCGGAGAAACTGAACGTGAACGTGAACGTGAATGTGGACGACCGTTGACATGTATGTAAGCTTCTTTAGCCTCTCCAATCTCATTCACTTCCGTGAATTTGTCTGCCACACCAATATCACCATTTCCTTGGTGCACGATTGGTCCATTAAGGTTTTTGAGCTGGTAAGATTCTCCTGCAGTATCATTTCCGATCGTTGGTACGTTCTGAATCTCCAAAATAGAAGGTGCCCTAGGAGGAGACCCAAACGGGAGTGTTTTGCCAGTTGGAGCGGCAGCAATAGAGCTGTGAACACTGCTCCCTTCAAAGTCTAGTACAATATCATCGTAGTCGTCGAAAATAGGTTGGCCCAAGTACTCCTGGTTGGCTTTGAGTGCCTGTTTGCCGTCATGGCTGACATCCAGAGTGAACCTTGGCGATTCTGGGATGGTCAAACGCGCAACGATGGCCAGAAACGCGGGAATCGCCCCTACTCCAATAACTATCCTCCATATGCGGTCGATGATAGCCGCAGCTGCTTTGTGATCGTCCGCGCTTTCCGTCAACGATTCCAGTCCTCTCCCCTTCCCAAGAGTGGTAAGAACCGTCAGACCCACAGCGGCAGCGGCCAATTGCCCCAACGGTTGCATCAGAGTTATGGCAACCATCATACGAGCTCTCGACTGGACTGGCGAAAATCTGTTATAAGAAGTTAGCTATTTGCTATAAGTGCAATTAATTGAATTTGGGGGACTCGCTCAGAAGTGATAACTCCTGCCAATGGATACTCAGCCCCCACTCCTACTCCGACAAAGAAACGATAGTATACAAGCCATCCCATTATACTCATTGAATTGCCAAAACCAGTACCGCAGCCTGCCAGGCCGACGGTACCGAATATCACAAATATAAGTTCAAACCCATAGAGCTTCCTCCGTCCCAGAAGATCTGCGAGAAGGCCAAATGTCAATTGGCCTACTATTGACCCTCCTAGAGTCACGAGGTTGATCGTAGACTCATGGTTACTGAAATCATCGCCATTCCAATATATGTAGGCCAGTGAAGGTAGGATGACGTTCGTTGCGAACAAGTTGTAGGACTCAGTGAAGAAGCCAGAACCAGCTACGAGCCAGATCTGCCATCCAAAGCCTCTTTCATCTATGTTGTCGCATATTTGTTCGCGCCTTCTGGGATCGCCCTGGGGAAAGTTAGCTATGGCTGGATACAATCTAGTTGTGGAGTTTGGAGTCAGGCCTTACAGGAAGAAGCTGGGCTGTAGTCGTTGGATTGAGCCATATTCGCCATCTTCGCTTTGAAGGCGTGTTGTCGTCGTCTGAATTAACGCTCATGTTGCTGATAATGATGGAAAAGACGTAATGACAGCATCTTGGGGAGGCAACGCGGCATGGACTGAAGTTAAATGTGCTCTCATCAAGACAAGGCTGTAAGGCTCCGTAGCACACTAGAAAGCCTTGCTATCCGCCTCCAAGAGCGGGCGTTTTAAATCCTGCAAGGGAAGGAACTTACCCTATTGAACCAGGACATGTCACGCCTGCAACGCCGGAACTTGCCCAATAAAAAAGTGTCTGCCCGGTGAGAACTTTGAGATGTTTTGACGTCCAAGCCACCAACCAAGCCACCAACCAATCCAACCACTCTGGTGAAGGAGCGCACCCACGTGGGATGTATATTGTAGAATAAAACACAGCGAAAAAGTTTCAATAAATGCCCGCCAAAGTCCAGTCCCGATCTTGTCTCATGCAGTTCGGCAGCCTGACAGGATGGGAGGAGATTGCAGGAGCCTCACGCAGGAGAAGAATATACCGCACACTCCCGGGCCACCATCTCTCGGCGACTGCGCCATCGATGGTTGCCAGAGTCTCCTATTGCCACGGCCATGACTCAAGGGAGCTGTCTCCTATCCAGCAGCGCCGTTTCAAAGAATGCTCCATCGTGTGCTCTTCCTTGTCCTTGTTGTCTGATCTGCAGTGGAAGAGCTGGAGGCCATCAGCACCGAAGTGATCTCGAGGCGGCTTTTCGTAAGGTTCCTGTAGCCCTATCGCCCCGCAGATGTCGGCAGACGACCTCCAGCCGCTGCTAGATGCTGGAGAAAAGTGCAAAAACCTCCTGAGCAACTTTATGGCCAAAGGTGGAAAGTGCTCGGAACGCATCCAGGCCCTTGTCTCCCAGATATCCGACCTTTGCAGGATTCTGCGAGAGCATCACGAGGCTGCAGGTAGCAATACTTCAGCATCTGCAAACTACCCTTCTTGTCACTTGGCTCTACAAGAATGCTGCACTTTCATCAAGAACTATGTCGAAAAGAGTCGCACGAACCGAGGTTCATTGCTGGGATCAGCCAAATCTTTCGAAGAGAAGAAGATTCTCTCTCTCGAAGCTAAAATCCGGTGGCAATTAGAGGTTGGGGGCAGGTCAGCGCAGACAGACATCCTGTAGGTTTCCATATCCCCAACTATAAGTTGTCTCCCTTCAGCTACGCTTGATAGACCCAAGCTAACCTCACCTAGTCGCCAGACCTCTGTACGAATGACAAGTACCTCGCGGGACGTCCTATTTGAAGATGTTGATACTATGTCTGCTTCTAGTTCTACTAGTCTCCCTTCGCCTCGAATGGATGGATATTACCAAAGCTGGGGCTCTGGGGCAAGCACACAGAGTTATCGAAATTCCTCAACCAGCAACGGGTCCTCTTATACTCCATCTTGGAAAAGTGCTGATGAATACCGAGATATGCAGGAGGAAACTTCGCCACAATCCCGAGCCTCTGTCGCGTCTTCAATGACCTCTAGCAATGTTCAAAGCATCTGCAGGATTATGAGGTAAGAAGCATGCTTCCAGATAATCTAATCCTACATATTCACTTTCTAACACTGGAGTAGCCCAGAAGCCTACAAGAAAGGTCTAGAGAAAGGCTTCGAGAAAGTCTTTGAGAAAGGCATAAGTGTGGACACAATGCCATCACAGCCCAAGCAACATGAAAAATGGTGGGAAATTTTTTTCACGGATAAACACGGAAAGCCAGTCCTTCAGCACAGCAGTACTGAACCTTTCTCCCATACACGTTATAGCAACGACACTAACTATGACAGTTTCTGGCCGCTACAGTCAAACATGTATACCGTACACAGAATGGGGAGGATGGATGCGTCCACTTGCGATATGGATCCATGATCTTGACGCGTCAGGAGACATAATCCGTCAGAAAATCTCTATCCCGAAAGCCTCCTCAGGCCCAAAAGATTTTAAAGGAACGCCAAGATACGTCTTCTTAGACCCACAGGATGCCCCTGATAAGTTTGAAGCCGAAGATCGAAAGAGGCTATTTTTCGACTTTCAGAGTGCTATCTACGGTAAAATCTTGTTCGATATATTCAACATCAACATTATTACATCGACACGGCGAAGAGAGGAATCCTCAAAGCAGCAACTTAAAATCTGGATCGATTATGAGGGAGCTTCTACGACAAACTCCTATATTACATTTTTTGCCAATAATGATGATGACCGGCGACATCTCAAATTCCCACTCTCCTGGTTTGATCTTGAAGATTTCTTCGCTGAGGAAAGGGAAGTCAAACTCGATTTCCTCACGAAGAGTAAGATTAAGTCCCGCGTAAAGCGGCAAGCAAAGTTGCAAAAAGCCGCAACATTTGAGACTCAAGACACAAGTAAGTTCAAACAATAATCCGAGGCATTCAATGCATGCAGCATCAGAATTTCCCGTTAACAAACGGTCTGGAGGGACATCGAGTGTCTTTTCCATAGCTTCGAGTGCTACATCCGAATCCATGACAACCGTCTCGACATCGAGATCTAGTACCTACGACTCGGGTATCGCCAAGCAAGAAGAAATTTCCAAAAAAGCCGAACAAATGGAGTACTTGAAAATAAAGTTCACAACATTAGCAGGTATGTTTCTGGTGTCCAGCTTCCTTCTTCATTATCAAATTTTTGGGGGTGTGAGGTGGTGTTCATTACTGCCAACGGTTGATATGCTGACTACAGCGTCACATATAGACTCTATTCGATTTCAAACGCGATTAGTAGACATACAATGCGGCTCTATTCCGTCTAAATCAACCTCGCCATTATTTAAAGGGTTTGCGTTCCCGACCAGACCTCCACAAGCATCAGGGGCAACACAATTCGAGACGATGGCATCGAGCTCTTCATTTAGAAAGTCTTCGTCGTCTACTGGAAAGGGAAATCACGATCAGACTAGCGCAATACTTGAGAGATTGTGATATCGGGGAAGTATCTCTCATCAAATTCAACGGTCGTTCCGTATGATCACGTTCGAGGATTTAGAACAGGTTGGTGATCTCGTGTCTGCTGAGCCCGTTACGGCGATCTGACGACCGAGTTCAGGTAGCGTAGGCCCTTGAGACCTACTTTGAGTTGGTTTTCTGCTAAATCCGCTATCTCAAAAGCCAACTTAAGTTTGCAAACGGCCATTTGGCTGTTCTGTCATCTATATAGCATCAGGTTGGGTGCTAGAGGACTCTTGTTGGCACATTGAGATCTCGACCACTCTCAACGCTTAGCTTAGCTTATCTACTATACTTGGAGAGTTATAAGCCAGACACTTGTTCGTTTTTGAAAGGAGTTGAATAAATGAAATTTGGAAGTCTTAAATACTAAACTCTGCTTCAGTACAAGATTTTATAGTAGATATAGATGTTAGACTTTTGAAGTGTTGTGGTTGGGCTCAGCGAGCTTCAAATTGAAAGCTGGACGGAATGCTTGCCTGCCAGATTCAAATATTCGCTATTAGACTATCAGACGCACTAAAGCAACGGAGACCACTATTGAAGACTTGAAGCCTTATTTGCCATTCAAGCATGGCACCTGAGGCTTAAATGCAGGATATTTCCCCCTTTTCGGGGCAAGGGATTGCTCTTGCGCGCAGTGATGCGGCTAAGGGGGGCTGTGCATGCTGCGCCCACCTTTCTATTATACCCTCTTGTCCTTTGCAGCCATTGTTCTTCACGTTCTGTTCCTCCAAGCACTATCTGGTATCCAAATCAAATAACCAATTTCAAAGTTTTGACGCCTTTCCGTGCTACCGTTGATTCCCGTCCCGGGAGAGACGTGCCTGGCCGACTCCCGCATAATGCGACTTTTAAACGTGCATACCAAGAAGCTGGAAGAATTCTTCGGCTCGGCAATCCCAAAATATGCAATTCTCTCGCACCGCTGGGGAAGCAAGGAAGTCACATTTCAAGACCTCAACGCGTTTGATAGCCAGAACTGGGAACCGACAGCCGTCAAGCGCACTGGTCCGGGGCTCTTGAAGATCGTGTATACATGTTTGCAAGCTAAGAAAGAAGATCTCGGATATGTCTGGGTGGACACGTGTTGCATCGACAAGAGCAGCAGCGCCGAGCTGTCGGAGGCTATCAACTCTATGTATGCGTGGTACCAAGGCTCCGATGTCTGTTACGCCTATCTCGACGATGTACGCGGCCTTTGTGATGCTTATCAGGCAGACTTCACTAGCAGTAAGTGGTTCACAAGAGGGTGGACGCTCCAAGAACTTTTAGCTCCGTCGAAATTGAGATTCTTTGGGATCGACTGGAAGTTTCTTGGAGATCGTACGAATTTGTCCGGACTCGTTTCGTCAAGGACAAATATTCCTGAAGATGTTGTTAAAGACCCGAGTTACATGCAATCTACCAGCATAGCAAATAGGATGTCCTGGGCTGCGGACAGGCAAACGACACGTGTAGAGGATGTGGCTTATTCTCTACTAGGAATCTTCAACGTGAATATGCCTCTTCTCTATGGGGAGGGAAAGAAAGCTTTCATTCGATTACAGGAGGAGATATTAAGAGAATCAGACGACCAATCGATCTTCGCATGGGAGTGGAGTAAAGAAGACCCCGCTGAAGACTCCTGGTTCTCAGGTCCTTTGGCCGATAGCCCGGGGAAGTTCGGAAAATCGGGAAATATCATTCCTCTTCCGAGTACCGCTGAGAGACAGCCATACGCCATGACGAACAAAGGCCTACGCATCGAGATTGATCTTACCGCTGGTAAGCCGCCGGTTGCGATCCTGGAGTGTCATTATGACAATGACCTTTCTGGTTTACTCGGAATTCCATTGATAGCTACTGGGATACCCTCAGTCTATATGAGGGCGCCCGGTGAATTGGCATCTTGCCGGCCGTCTCGTGCCCAACTAAGAACAATCTATATTGTCAAGAACCATCCTCTGAAAGCAACATGGTCTTCTTACAAGACATGTATGGTCGATTCCGAATCGATGAGCACCTATGGTTTCGATATCGCAGAAGTGGCACCAAGACAGTTCCACTTCAATTGGAAAACACACACCTTAAAAATGCCGCAGGGATTAGGCAGGGGGGAAATGGCAGCGTTCAAATTCCATAACAGTCAATGGGATCATGAGCCTGTCGTACTTTTTGCATTGACAAGCAGCGGCGATAAAGGCTTATTGAAAATCGTGGGAACTCAAGGAGAGAAACCTTTGCAGCAGCTGTTGGAGAAGGAAGTGAAAACTACAGAACTTTTCTCGCGTCATTCTATGCCTCTTCCTCCTCCAAGAAACTCAACAAATCAGAACACTACACTCACCATCCACGCTAGTGTGAAGAAGGACATAATCTTCCGTCGGGAAGTCTTCGTTTTGAAAATAGGAATAAGCATTGATCCGATTTAAATATCAATGCAATGGATCAGAAGGACACAGATGCTTTGGCTTCTAGGACGATCTGTAAAAAGGAAACTACATACTTTAGTTGGACAATATTCGAGGCCGTAATCCAACCCGGGGGAAAAAATACAAGTCCTATAACGTCGTCATGAACACTGTTAGAGGGTGAGAGCGGAGATTTTAATAGGTTGTGGGAAAAGAGAAAGCGTGGGCACGCTCGCTAATACCCGTACTCGTAGAGATCCTGTACCAAGATCAAAATCAAAAACATATAACAAAGTATTGGCTAGTGGCCACCCGCCCATCTTAATAGAGTCGTCATATATATAGTATAGTGGATTGGATTTATCCTTCGCCTCACTTAGTAGTAGTATATACCTAATCAGATCCAAGACCTACTGGTAGTTTCAATAGGCCTCGGAACTAAGATATTAATTATCTCCTTTGAAGGACTTCGTTATTTCCCTGACTAGGTTTACAAGCGAAAGCGTTCCCGTAACGAATATTAGAGACAGTGCAGTAAGCGGACATAAGATTAACTCTTAGGGCGGGTATAAGAGCGACGTAATAACAGGCTTTGCTTTCTCGGTTCGGGAAAGCAAAACTTATTAAAAAGTTCTTATATATTCGAAATAGAAATAAAGTAATAATATTACTTATATATAATATTAATCGCCAGCTATATATAAGTATAATTATAAAGTTGATTTAAAATACTTAAAATAATTTTATAAATATAATATTTTAATATTTTATTAATTAGTAAATTAAGAATTTTTTGTTTTTATAAGAAAAGTAAAGAATATATAAGTATATAATAATAGTTATAATTAAAATATAAATAGCTAATAATAATTTAAAGATTTAAAAGAATAGTAATATAAATTCTTTAGTCTAATATACCTAATAATTTAATTAATATTATTTAATAAATTTTGAATTTGTTTTATAATTAGAGAATTATTATTTATTTTATACATTATTTGTAGCGGCTGGTATTATATAGTTAATATAGACGTGGTTTTAGCCAAAGGGGTTAGTTTTAGCTAAGGTTCCAAGCTATAGTTCAAATTAAGCTCGCTTCTAAAGCTCGGTATTTTAGTAGTCTTAGTATATTAAAGAATTAATTAGATTAATTAAATTAATTAATTAATTCATATAATTAGATTATTATTAATATAATTCAGATTTTTTAATTAGATTAGATTAATTAATCTTGATTAATTTAATTAATACTTAATTAATTATATAATAATAGAGTTTCTTGACTTTTTTTACTTTTCTTTTTACTTTTACTTATTAGTTATTAAATAATATTATAATTAACTAATAATATTATAATAAAAAAAATCCAAATTAAGCTAAGAACTAACTAATTACTTCTTTTCTATAATAATAAACTAATTATTCTCTTTTAAAACCTAATTTGCCTTCTTTTTCTCTTCTTTTTTAGCTTCTTCTAATTTATCTTTAAATATATTTCAGCTCTTTAAACAAGATATCTTTTTAAAAGTACTTTTATTAAGTCTATTTCGTAATTTAGATATAATAAAAGCGCCTTAAAAAAAGAACCTCTTACTAGTAGCTAAGGAAGCCGGAATTCCTAAATATTTCCTAGTTATTAAAGCTAAAACAGGAAATCTAGTAGTATTAGACTTCTAATAATCTAATAGCTTAATCTATATATATATTAGTATTAATCTATTAAAAAATATTAAGGAAATATCGGGTAATTATTTAATAAAATTTAAGTAAGTTTTATTTATATTTCTATTCTTTTTCTTTTCTTTTAAATAAGTTACTAATTCGTTTTTTATATTAGAAAACTTATTAGTAATATATATATCTAAGTTATTTTTATTAGAATCGGCTATATTAATATCCAAAGAATTAGATCTAGTATAATATTATAATAAGGTAATATTATAATAGTAATAAAGAGCTTGAATTAAGCTAAAGGCTATATACCCGGCTAAAAGTACTAGCTATATACTAAGTCACATATAGTAGTACTATATAACAAGTTCCCTTATTTAAACTCAAAAGATAATATTCTTATTATAATATAGCTATTCTAGGCTATTTATAAGAAGTTTACTAGTATAGAGCGTTTTTCTTTCTTAAAAGCTTATATTTTACTTTTAAGAGCTCTATAAATAGGCTATAATAATATATATCTCAAAATATATCTCCTATTTATATATTACCTCTTTCTCTATTATATTTCTTATTTATATTACATCTAGTCTTAATAACTTCCTAATTATAATTATTATATATACCTTATATTCTAATATAAAGAAATACTAGCTAAGTAAAAACTTAGAAAAGTAAGAAATCAGACAATTCTACTAGTAAGAATATATATAGCAGAAAGCTCTTTTTATAAGAATAAGAGAAATATTACTTTATTACTATAGTAATTCGTATTATATTATAAGGCTAATCTTAATTATAATTATTATATTACTATTATATATTATAATAAGGTAATATTATAGTAGTAATAAAGAGCTTAAATTAAACTAAAAACTATATATCCGGCTAAAAGTACTAGCTATATACTAAGTTATATATAATAATACTATATAACTAGTATTATATAATATATAAAATAAATTATAATTATATTTATTTCTAAATATAAAATTAGTTATTAATTTATTTAAAAAAATAATTAAAGAAATTATTTATATATTATAATCGGGTTTTAATTTATAATATATATCCGAAAATATATTATTAAATAAGCTAATACTAGTTAATTCTTCTTATTTAATTCGAGAATTAAGAATAAGAACTAAATATAAAGCTTTATTTTTATTATCTAAAATACTTATTTTAGAATAGTATTTTCGAAGTTTAGTTATATTCTTATTTATTATATTTATAAATGCTTTATTTTATTAAAGATTAGTATAATATTATTAATAATATAAAAAGAATTTAAAAAAATACTTATTTTAAATTTCTTTTAAAATTTTCGAGTTTATTATATATTTTATATATTTTAGATATAATATAATATATAATCGAATAATTTTCGATTTATAATTTAATTATAACTTTAATAAATATTGAAATTATATTTAAAATATTATTTAAATAAGTATTAGTTTACTAATAATATATAGTACTATTATATTAATATAAAAATACTAGTTATATTAGTTAGTAAAGTTATTATTATCTAGAAGTAAAGATTATAGTATTATAATATTAATATATAATTCCTAAATCTACTAAGCCTAAAGAAGTCTAGTTTACTAGTTAAGTTATTAATAGGATATGAGATTATATAACTATATCTCATATCTTATATTCTATTATCTATATCCTATTACCTATATCCCATATCCCGTATCTCGTAATTATATATATAATTTCTAAAGAAATAGTTATACTAATACTAGAAACTTTCTAAAAACGCAAAAAATAATATCTTTCTTTAATTATATATAAATTCCCTAATCCGGCCTAATACCAGATTTCCTAAATACTTTATATATTTATATTACTTCTAATGTTTTAGTTATATACCAAAAGCTATAGCCTTTTATATATAACTTTTCCTTTTATAATATTCTCTCATTTTATATATCTATTTTCTGTCTTATTTATACTTAACCTATTCCTCTATATCTAATTATATAGTATTTATATTAATTAGATATTTGAGAGTATTTATTAGCTTTAATTTCGTTATAAAATTAGCAGAATTTAATTCTTTCTTAATTCATTTAACTTCTATAATCTCTTATTATTTATATATCTAGTAAAAATATATTATATTAATTATTAGATACTTTTCTTAAATAGTTTCTAATTTAATAAGGTATTCGTATAATAACTTCGAATCTATATAAATTACTAGTAATAATTTCATTTCTAGTACTTTATTAATTATAGATTTAACTAAAATACCTATATTAAAGTTATAAGCCATACTATAAAGTTCTAAAGCTAGAATACTTCTAGTAACTCTCTTATATTTAATAGAGAACTAGTAGATAATATTAGTATATCTAGTTCCGTTTACTAGAACTAGAATATCCGTTTAGCTACCGCCAGGTGCGCCCTGGCCCGTATATACTAGTTTTCGCTTAATTCTAGCTAATTAAAGGGCTGGATTCCCTTATTAAAAGCATTAATTCTACCTTAATCTATAAAATATATTAAAATAACCATAATCTTTATATAGATATATATTGCATTACTTGTACTCATATATAGAATCATGCCTTATACTTTCCCTGCCTTGATTTAATGCGATTTGAGCTAGTATAACTCGTTTTTTAGGCCGATCTATAAACCGGAGCTCCTAATAGCAAATATACCTCTCTTTTTTTACTAAGCTTTACTTGCTTATATACTCTAGGAGGCATATTACTAGCTCCCTAGCTAATATATAATATTCTTCTCTTTAGACA